GGAGACTCTTTCTCTTCCTATATTACCCAAGAAGAGTCAGCAACTGCTGCCATATAGTCACGAAGACAAGGAAAGATGGAGCAGCTGGGGACTTTAGACCCAGAGAAGAAGAGAGGCTGTGTGCTGACATCCAGGGGCCAGGCTTGCAGGGTATACCCTTTGGTTGGTTGATGATAAATGGAGGGGATTGTTAACCATGGCAGAGAAACAATATAAGCTAGGATGAATGTAAAACTTATGTTCTCCCATGTAAAGTATCACATAATTCACAATAAAACATTTTTAAAAAACACAATGATGATTATGAGCCTAAGCTTTGGAACCAGAGAAACCTGGATTCAAAGTTGACGCTCTACAAACTACTTAACTAACCATCCTGAACTTCAGCATCCTCACCTGTACAATGAAAATAAGTGATAACTATTTCAGTTATTAAAGGATTAAACTAATGCCTGCAAAGTCTTCAGTACGTGTTATTGCGGCTGTTGTTAAGTGCTTTTGAGTCAGTGTCAACTCATAGTGATCCTATACATGGACACAAGATGGATCTTTTCCAATCAGCTGGCCAGTAGCTGTAGCTCAAGTTTCTTGGCATAGACAAATAAGCACCTCTAGAACTGCATCAGTTTTTGGAAAGATTTCAATTTGTATTCCGTCAATTCCTGTATCCTTGTTTTCCACAATTGTTTTCAGTGCAACTTGGTCTTCTTGATTCGATACCATCTGTTCTTGATCGTATGCTACCTCTTCAAATGGCTGAGCACAGACCAATTCTTTTTGGTACAGTGATCCTGCATTTCCCTTCCATCTTCTTTAGATGTTTTCTGCATTATTCAGTATTTTGCCCATGGTATCCTTAAATATTATACTCCAAGGCTTCAATTTTTTTCTTCAGTTCTTTCAGTTTGAGAAACGTTGAGCATGCTCTTCATTTTATAGTTTTCTAACTCCAGGTCTTTTTTTATTTCATTATAATACTTTACTTTTCCTTCTAGAGGTACCCTTTCAAATTTTCTGTTCAGCTGTTTTACTTCCTCATTTCTTCCAGGTACTTTAGCTTATCTTCACTGAAGAGTAAGTTTCAGTCAGTGTCTTCTGACATCCACCCCCCAATTTTTTAAATATACTTTTTATTGTGAATTGAGTGAAGGTTTACAAAGCAGATCATCAGTTTTATAGTCACCAAATACTACACTTTGTTTCATCTCAATGATTACAATCCCTTCTAGGCAACAACAGTTATCCTGCATCTTCTCCAAGGGTCCTTTTTCTACTGCACTAACCTCCCCACTCCTTCTCAACTTTGTCCTTAGGGAAATGTTACCCTTTTGATTTTGATTAATTGACTGTTCCATGATGAGCATACCTTGCTCGTGTTGTTGTCTTCCTACATAGCTATCTACTGCTTGGCAGAAAATTGGGCCACAAGGGCGAGTTCCTTTCCAGACCTGAAAGGTGGTTGAGGACCATAGTCTAAGTTTCCTCCTGTCTCTTTCTAATAAACCTGGCCTTTTTTAAAGCAAAAAGGTTTTTGTTTTGTTCTCTACTTTCTGCCACTCTATCTAGGACCTTTTAATGTAATTCCTTTCACAGTAGTTGGTGTTGGTAGCCAGGCACCATCTAGTTCTTTTGGTCTGAGTCACAGAGACTGTAGAAACTGTCTACATATTCCATCAGTCCACTGGACTAACTGAATCCAAGCATCTTCAATTCCATCACTCTTCTTTCTTTCATATATGGAGAAACCATAGTTACACCTTAGATGGCTGCTCTTGAGTTTTTAAGATCCCTGAAACTACTCATCAAAGTAGGATGTAGAACATGACTTTGTGAACTATATTATGCCAACTGACCATGGTGTCCCCTAAGACTATGATCCAGAGCCCCCAGGCAAACAACTCATTGCCTTAAGAAGTTTGATAACATCTAAGTTTTCATCATTTTGCCCACTGCATGCTCTACCACATTCATAGTGTCTGCAACAAAGGTGAATACCCATGTACAAATATCCTCTCTAGCCCTTATATTGTGGATATACTCCCACTCTTCCTCCCATACTCATTCAGCCTGTGTATCTGTCCATGTATCTACATGCAGAACACTATCATTCCAAGGCTGTGTATTTAACTTTATTTACCTCTATCCCTTTTAGCTTTGCGTACCTTCCTGTGTCTTTGTCTTCATCATTCTTCCGCCTACCTCCCTCTCCTTGCATATAGCCCTCCCTGTCACCTGAGTTACCATATGTCTACCCACTAGCCAATGGATTAACTTCCTCCCACTCCCACCCCTGGTAACCATTAAAAAATATTTATTTTTACATGAAAACCTATCCTTGAATTTTTACAAGTCGTCTCATACAATATTTGTTCTTTTGTGATTGGTTAATTTCACTCAGCATAACGTCCTCCAGGTTCATCCATGCTATGAGGTATTTTGCAATTTCATCATTATTCTTCAAGGTTGCATAGTATTCCACTGTATGTATGTATCAAAGTTTATTTATCTATTCTTCCACTGATGGGCATTTAGGCTGTCTCCATCTTTTTGCTATTATGAACAGTGTTGCGATGAACATGGGCATGCATATATCTACCTGTGTCCTGGCTCTTATTTCTTGTGGATATATACCAAGCAGAGGGATTGCTGGCTCATAAGGTATTTCTGTTTCCATGCCATACCATTTTCCAGAGTGGTTGAACCACTTTACAGACCCACCAGCAATGTAGGAGGGTCATTAAGGTCAACACTAATTTTAAGGAAGCAGTTCTCCCCAGCCCTATTTTGAATGCAATTCAACCTGAGGGTTCATCTTCTGGCACTGTATCTGATAATGTTCCACTTAGATAAAATCTACTTATCACAGGTTGTTAATGGAGTCTTCTGCCAATCCTGATCCTACATTCTTCTTCATATAATCCAGTTTCCTATTTTACCAACACTACTCGTCTGTCCTGGTGTGGCACTGTGGGTTAATGTGCCAGACTGTAAAACTGGTTTAACTGTAAGGTTGGCAGTTCAAGCTCACTAGCTACTCCTTGGAAACCCTATTCAGGGTCGCTATGGGTAGGAATCAACTCGACGGCACTTAACAACAACTCGTCTGTCAGTTTGTTGTGCTGTAGTGGCTTGCATGTTGCTGTGATACTGGAAGCTATGCCACTGGTATTTCAAATACTAGCAGGGTCGCCCATAACTAAGGCAGAGAAGGAAGAAGGAGGTGGATTACCTCCAAATGGACAGCCACTGTAAGCCTTATGACTAGCAGCAGAAATTTGTGAAATGTAGTGCCAGAAGATAAAAACATTATGAAAAGTATGATGAAAGTCTAAGAAAGAATTTAAAAATTCAACTGGCCCTTGAAGGCTGAGTCGGAGTTTTGGAAATAGAAACTAACATTCCAGATACAGAAAACCACCCATACAAGGGCACAGTCATAGAAAGAATTTGACTTCACTATGGAATGGTGAGCTGTTCAATGGGGCTACTGCAAAAGGATGGAGAAACCATGTAAGAGTGTAAGCAATGAAGAATCACAAGAAAAAGAACACAAAGTGATCAGGTTCATATTATCATACTTACTCATTATCCTCTTCACCTTGTCTAAACCTCTTTGCTACATTTTCCTCTTTGAACTCTGTTAGATCCTTAAGTCCTTTCTCATTACTGATTATGCTAAACACTGAAACAAAAAGAAAACTGTCATGAGTCAAAAGAATTATTTTATAACACTACTGAAAATTCAGCTGTAACACTAAAAGACTCACCTTTTTCAACCTGAATCCTGAAAGCATTTTTTTTCCTTCGACCATAGTCTACACTGAAAAAAAACAACAACACACAGTTAGTACAATGGTCTCCAGCACTGTTTTCCCACTAAAGTTCAAGTTTTAAATTGACCACATATATACATCTAAATTTTAAATTGCCACCATAGTCATACTGAGCATAAACCTATTTTCAGACAACTAAGTCTACATTACATTACAGCAGAGTGAGTGGTAGGGAGGCAGTAAAGTTAGTGAAGGGGAGGAAAAATATGGGGTGGTAAAGCAGAACACAAAATTTTTCAGAGCCTTTTGTTCTAATGTGTTCTCTCTCTCTTTCTTTCAAGACTAAAAGAGACCTAGAAGCCTCTACCTGTTTACAATATAAAGAGGAAGCTAAAATAGATTCTGAAACTTATAAAACAGAGATCATTAATGATGCACAGTCCTGGCATGGCAATTAGGATAAGCACTAGACTGTTAGCCACAAGGTTAGCAGTTCAAACCAACCAGCCGCTCTCAGAAATCTTCTAAGCTGGAACTGACTCAATGGCACATAACAACAACAGTATAATTAATGAAACAAATATCCTAAGAGGTTGGATTAGAGGCACAAGATAAAGATATAAACTTTAGTGGGAAGAATAACTGAGTGACATGTTTCTAGATAAAGAGCCAGGATGCTGTGCAAGATTATGCCTGAAGGTTTTAATTCTTTAATGAAAGAGGAAGTAGCCTAATAACGTCTCTATCCAGACCAGACTGAATGATACTTGAAGTAAGAATCAGCCAGTCCTCACAGTAACAAAAGTGGCTCCGTGTATATAATACTAAAAACAAACCCAAACCCAGTGTCATCAAGTCAATTCAGACTCCAAGGAACCCTATCTAGGGCTTCTAAGACTGTAAATCTTTACAGAAACAGTCTCATTTTCTCTTAAGGAGCGGCTAGTGAGTTTGAACTGCCAACCTTGTGGTTAGCAACCCAGTGCCTAAGCCACAGCACCACTATGGTTCATTTTGCTTGCTTATAATAGGTGCTTGATAAATATTTGGATAACAAAATTGAATTCCAAGTTTATGCTAGCTGGTATTAACAGCAATTAGAATTTCAAGCAGCATAGAAACTTTAAAAGTGGTAGGACAGAAAAACAAGGATCCATAGAGTCCATTTCTTTACCTGTACATTCTTTGCAAATCAGATGCTAAGAATCCAATATCCACATATTTGCCACATCTATTACTGGTAAGATACTAAAACAAAAAATAAAATAAACATAAAATACTTTATGTTTCAAACACTGATTTTAACCAACAAATAAGAGATCAAGTTACTGAAATATGTTACACTTTAATGTAAACTTTTCAATAATGTAATTTTTCATTAATGAAGCACATCAGACACATCAATTAAAATCACCAAATAATTGTCAAGTCTGGAATCAGAGAATTTATTTAATAGTTACTATGATAATACAATGAACTCCTGGTGTGGAGCATTAGAATCAGCACTGGACTGTGAACCATAAGGTTAGCAATTCAAACCCACCAGCTGCTCCTCAGCAAGCCTATACGGAATTGCTATGAGTCAAAACTGACTTGACAGCATTTAACAACAACATGATAACAGAGTAACAACAACAGTAACTAGAAGAGCTATCATATAACTTTATAAGAGACACCACAAAACACATACATAAATCACAAGGACACGTTATTGTTTGTTGCTACTGCTAAGTGCCCCCTAGTTCTGACTCATAACCCTGTATAAGGTTTCAGAGGAGCAGCTTGTGGGTTTGAATCTAAGGAAACAGTATTGCCAACATCTGTCAGGCACTGCAAGAACTACTAGCTTGAGGCAATTCCGTTTCAAAATTAAATCAATTTTCATTTCTTTTGATGATTTCACTTTTGTAAAACTGAGTGTTCAGCAGGTGCTGTGATCAAATGTAAATGCAAAGCAAAAATCAATGTGGACCAGGAAATAAGAATGGTGAAGCCAATCTGATTCCAAAGTATGAGAAACTGCGCATGTCCAACACATACAGAAACTTCCTAAGGAAGTAACTGTGGTTATTAAAAGTGAAACAAATATATCGACCTTTTTCAACTTTTGTATATTATTTTTTCAAAGAGCTATTAAGTTATTTGGACTAGATACTTACCTAAGTTGCTTGGACGTAAGTACTTAATGAACAGACCTGTTAGGTATTTCTTTTGGTATAAGGACACCATGAAAAAATTAATCACAAAGTAAGGGAGTTGTGGACCAAGAGTGTTTGGGAACCTCTGTTCTAAGCATGGCTCTAAAGCCTTTTTACATATTATCTCTCTTAATCAATAACAATCCTATTATTAGTAGAGGTAGATATTACTTTCCTCTTTTGCAGATGAGAAAGTTCAAGTGAAGCCTAAAGTTCAAGTGAGGCCTGGCAACACATAAGTTGCAGCGTCATAATTTAAACATATACTAAGTATCGACCTCTGGCAGCATGTTGTTGTTGTTGTTGTTAAGTGCCGTTGAGTCGGTTCCGACCCATAGCGACCCTGTACAGGGTTTCTGAGGGTGTAAATCTTTACGGGAGTAGAAAGCCTCATCTTTCTCCCACGGAGCAGCTGGTAGTTTCGAACCGCTGACCTTAAGGTTCGCAGCCCGATTCGTAACCACTACGCTACCAGAGCAGCATAATGGTTACAAATTGGCCTGTGAACCCCAAGCTCAGCAGTTTGAAACTACCAGCTGTTCCGCAGAAGAAAGAGGAGGCTTTCTGCTTCCGTAAAGATTTACAACCTCAGAAACCCTGTATGGGGTCGCTATGAGTCGGAACCAACTCCATGGCACATAACAAGTATTGATCTCTGTTTCAGTACTTGCTAGTTGTCCATCCAGTTCAATGTCCCATTTCATACAGGTGTTTCTTCACAAATATTCCTTAGCACATGGTAATAGACTCTGCATAAATGCCTCCAATGACAAGGGACTAGTGTGCAAAGCCAGACTGTTCCAGTTCCCACATGCTGCTCTGACACCCTACAGCATGCTGCCATTAACTACAGTTCATGTTAAATTATATTTACTTGTATCTCATAACCATTAGTATGTTTGCTTGTGTTTTACTGGCTACACAAACGCATTCAACTGTATGTTGTTGTTGTTGTTGTTAAGTGCCATTGAGTTCACAAAGACTATTCTACATCCTACTTTGCTGATTAGCAAGCAGGGTCTTAAATGCTCATTGGTTGGTTGGTTGGTTGGTTATGTGACGTGGAGTCGATTCCGACTCATAGCAACCCCTGTACAGGTTTCTGAGGCTGTAAATCTTTACGGGAGCAAAAAGCCTCATCTTCTACTGCGGAACAGCTGTTAGTTTCGAACTGCTGACTTTGCGGTTTGCAGCCCAGTGAGTAACCACTACGCTACCAGAGCCCTGTCCTCTAAGGTATGATTTATAGATCACTCTAATATTTTTCAAATACTCCTCTACCAGACCTATTCCAAGCTACCATTTCTCTATCACACTATTCAATAGCTTTCTCACTGATCTCTGGTTCTGCTTTTATATAAGAACCATACCCACCTGAGTAGTCAGAGAGATTTTTTCTTAAAGGGAAAATGAATGCCATGCTTATAACTCTCAGCGGACTCAAGACAGAGTAAAACCCAACCTAACAGCCCTGTATATTCTGGCCTCTGTTTATTGTCCTCATTTCCTTTTGCTCTGTCTTTCTGTACCAGCCACACTGACCTGAAACATGCCAAGCACAGGACTTACGTTCTTGCTGTTTAACCACTCTGAGTCATTCTTCCTCTAGTTATGTGCACAGTGATTAAGCACTAGGTTGTCTGCTAACCAAAAGTCAGTGGTTCTAACCCCCCAGACTCTCCACAGGAAAAAGATGTAGTAGTCTGTTTCCATAAAGATTTACAGTCTTGGAAACCATAAGGGACAGTACAGTTCTGTCCTGTAGGGTTGCTACAATACAAAAACTGGGTTATATGAAGAATTTGGCATCAGAATTGGAAGAAGACTCATTAACCACCTTTGATATGCAGATGTTGCAACCATGCTTTTGAAAGCAGAGAGTCCTTAAAACACTGACTGATGAAGATCATTATGGACTGCACCTCATTGTAAAGAAAACAAAAATCCCTCACAACTAGACCAATAAATAACATCATAATAAATGGAGAAAAAACTGAAGTCTTCAAAGATTTCATTTTGCTTAGATTCACAATCAACACTTATGAAAACAGTCCACAAGAAATCAAATGACTTAGTGCATTGGGCAATCTGCTGCCTAAGACCTCTTTAAAGTGTTAAAGAACAAAGATATCTGCTTGAGGGCTAAGGTGCACCTAACCTAAGCCATTGTATTTTAAATAAAGTGCATGTGAAAGTTGAACAATGAATAAAGAAGACCTTGCAAGAAGTGATGTACTTGAGTTATGGTGTTGAAGAATAATATTGGAAGTAGCATGGACTGCCAGGGAAATGCCTATGACAATGCTTGATACAGTGCTGTAGGATAAGCACTGGACCACAAAGTCAGTTTGAACCACAAGGTTAGCAGTTCAAACTCATTAGCTGCTCCTCGGAAACCCTATACAGAGTCGCTATGAGTCGTAAACAAGTCAATGGCACTTAACAATAACAACACAGACTTCCAGAGAATAAACAAATCTATACTGGAAAAAGTATAGCCAGAATGCTCCTTAGAAGCCAGGATGAGAAGACTTTGTCCCTCATACTTCAGATGTATTATCAGAAGGGACTAGTCCCTGGAAAGAGACAATACAGTTGGTGAAGTGGAGGGTCAGTGAAAAAGAGGAAGACTTCCAACAAGATGGAGTGGCAGCAGCAATGGGTTCAAACATAACAACAATTGTGTGGATGGCGTAGGACCGGGCAGTGTTTCATTCTATTGTATACAGGGTCACCATGAATCAGAACTGACTCAACAGCACCTAACAGTATGAAATAGAGCATCTGGGTGGCACAAATGGTTAAGCAACCGCTAGTGTAAAGGTTGGTGGTTCAAACTCACCCACAGGCACACTGGAAAATACGCCTATCTGCCATCTATCTGAAAGTCACAGCCTTGAAAACCCTACGTTGTTGTTAAGTGCCATCGAGTCGGTTTTGACTCATTGCAAATGTGAATAGTTTCCAAGGAGAGGCTAGTGAGCTTGAAACGCCGACCATGCAGTTCAAACAGACCTTGCGGCCCAGCACATTAATTAACCCACAGCGCCACCTGGAGCGGTCTAGTCTGCACACATGCGGTCACCTAAATTGGAATCAACTCCATGACAACAAACAACAATAGTGAGGATCCAAAAAGGAAACTGTAGTGGCCAGTGAACTAAGAGAAAAGGAGAACTCCCCAAAGTCTAGTGTGAGGGAAAAATCTTCCTTTCCTCATAATTCATACTGCTTGCTGACTGTGCCATTCCAAGGCATTTGCCACACATTGTTTTCTACTGATGGTTATGAAAATTAGAAAGCAACAGGTAAAACGCTCATTATAATGCCTGATGCACGGGACCTATTTTTACTATCTCAAGCCTGAGATAGTAAGCTCCTCAATAACGGTAATTAATGTATTCTGCATGATCCCCAAAGTACCTGGTACAACCCGGGTATTTAAAGAATGTTTCTGGCCTAAATTCACAAGACAGGAAGGTTGTTATGAGGTTAACTTAATTCTCCTACAGGAATTGTGCTGAGGTCCATGCCCACCAGGCTGCACCTTTCCACCATCTTGGGGATCCTACTTGAGACTCCCAGACCCAAAAGTGAGAAAGGAAAGGCCTACACTTCAAGCCGAGAGGAAATCAACAGGCTCACATCTGAACACAAACGAAGGCAAATGGCTGGTCAAATTTGGCCTGGAAGGCCCCCGAGAAAGGTCCAGGAGCACTAGGGAAGGAGAATACTGCAAAGCCGATCCGGCCATCATAATACACACCTGGATGACTCGCTGCTTTAGTTTATTATCTACGAACCCGGAGGGTCTCCGCTTCATCATGTCTGTCATTGAGACCACTGCACCAGCCTCTAGTTCCACGTGAGCCGGGGACCTCCACGGGGCTGCCAGTGACGATCGCCTGACTTGTTGAATCCGAAACGGGCTCCGCCCGGCGTAGTCCGAACCGTTCCCCTCAGCACAGTACTGAGAGTTGGGTTGCGGGTGGAATTTCTAAAGCGGAGAGTATTTGAAAAAAATCAAGATGTATCTAAAGAGACTTATTTTGCAGGCCTTCCCAACAGGTCCTGGATGATAAGGACCCTTTTGAATACGTCCAACTTTATTGGTTCCAACTGGCGCACACGCGTCACTGTTATCCGCGCCGGCGCTCTTAACTTCTGTATCTCGCGTTGTTTTTGGCTTGGTTTGTCCTGTTATATCAATTCCAGCCACATCGTATTAGGATGCAAAGCTAGTCTTGAATCTTAACAAAGCCAACTGCTGTAGAGACTTGGAGGGTCCCTGGTGGTGCCGTGGTTAAAGTTCTGGGCTGCTAACCGAAGATCTGTGTTTGGAAAGCACCAGCGCACCATCCGCTCCGTGGAAGAAATATATGGTATTCTGTTTCCGTAAACATTAACAGCCTTGGAAGTCCTTTGGGCCTGCTCTGCTTTGTCGTGTAGGAGCATTTGAGTTAGAATCCACTACAAAGCAAAGGTTTTAGTTGGTACTTGCGAGGATTAAATTGGCAAACGAAAAATAGACCGCCTTGCTGCTTGTTTTTTCAACTAATTACGAAGTTGGGGCTGGGTGAGGAAAAGGAAGCATTTGCTAATTTGTAAATAGTTTGATCTTGTGCTTATCTTATCGAATTATCAGAAGATCATTTGTTCAGCACATCCTGTGCAAGACTCCATCTTTACGTAAAAACTGTCCAGACTTTTATTAAACTGCTGTTATCTGTCCCACGTCGTTCATATTGTTGGTAAGTACTGTGGAGTCGGTTCCAACTTGTAGCGACCCTAGGGTTTCCAAGGCTTTTGAATCTGCGAGAGCAGAAAGACTTATCCTTCAACCCCAGAGTGCTAGTGGGCTCAAACCGCGGACCATGTGGTTCGTCGCAGTCTAATGCTTACCTTTGTGGACCAAATGTGTTGTTGTTATTGTTAAGTGCCATCCAGTCGATACCGACTCAAAGCGACCCCTATGCACGACAGAACGAAACACTGCCCCGGTCCTGGGCCAACCTCACAATGGTTGTCACACTTGAGCCCATTGATGCTGCCACTCTTCCAATCTATCTTGCTGGGGGTCTTCCTCTTTTTTCTGACCCTCCACCTTACCAAACATGATATCCTTCTACAGTGACTGGTCCCTCCTGACAATATGTCCGAAGTATGTGAGATGAAGTTTGGTCATCCTGGCCTCCAAGGAGCACTCTGGCTGCACTTCCAACACAGATTGTTGGCAGCCCATGGCTCTTTCAATATTCTCCTCCAACACCATACATAACTCAAAAGCATCAATTCTTCTATGGGCTTCCTTATTCATTATCCAGCTTTAATATGCATATGAGGTTATTGAAAATACCATGGCTTGGGTCAGGCACACCTTAGTCCTCAAGCTGACATCTTTGCTCTTCAACACTTTAAAAAGGTCTTGTGC